ACTTCCCCCGCTCCCTCACACATTTACCCTCTCCCCTCCCCCCACCAGGCCTTAAACTCCACCTTCTAACTATCCTTCTACTTTCCTCCCCCCAACTGGTCTTAAACTCCACCTTCTAACTATCCTTCTACTTTCCATTCTCCAGCTGTTTGACCCGGGCAAGGTCCTGTACTACTACGAGAGCCCCCCTGGGTACGGCCTGATCGCCATGCAGCTCATCGCCTGGCTGTGGTTCCTCTACTCCCTGGTCTTCACCCTCAAGCACTGCTCCAGCAAGACGCGCTTCTACATACCCTTCTTCTCCTTCTACACTGTCTGGTAAGTACCCTTAATCATAATAGATAGCATTTGTTTGAGCAAATTCCCGCTAAACGGCAAGCTCTATGCACGTTACAATCTATATTATCATCCTAGCAGACCTAGTAGCATTCTGAAATGATCTCAACTTCCGCAGAAGCATACAATGCAAGCTGCCATTTATAGGCACTAACACACTCTCATACAAACAAAATCTTTTGCTTTCTTTGGCTGGGTACCCATTCCCACCTGGGTGAAGTGAGGAAAATTGTGTGTAAAGTGCCTGTTGAATAAATCAAATGCTCCTAAAAGAGAGGTAAGATAAGTATTGAACAGGACATTTTATTCCTCCCAATCTTGCTTTCCTGATTATTCAGCGTGTTCATGAGCTAAAGTGTGTGTGTTTCATGAGCTAAAGTGTGTGTGTTTGTCCATCTCTTGCAGGTTCTGGGCTAGTCCAGTGGTCACTTTGGTGGCCATGTTTGCGATGGCGAAATGGAGCCGAGAGAAGACGGTCAACGGGGTGGAACAGTTTGTGGGGTTTGTGGGCCACACCTTTTTCCTGGTGAGTCTGTCTGTCTGTTTGTCTCCTAGCCTTACATTTGTGCTGTGTTGTTGCTTGCTTCTCCTGCTTAACCTTACATTTTCTCTCAGGAACGAAGGTGTATTTGAAAAAAATAGTTTTGGTATTTTTTGTTTTGTTTTGTTGGGTTGTTTTGGGTTTTTTTTAAACGGTTGGCTGAACATGATTCATCATGTGCTTTTAACATTTTTCTGTTTGTGATGGCAGCCCCCTGCTATGTTGCTGTCTGGAGTTGTCTGCCCCTTCTCTTTCCTTAGTGTCTTCCCCAATGGGGCCAAAGAGCACATCCAAGTGTACATCATAGTTGCCCATCTGTGCATCAAAAGCACACCTCTGTACGTGTGTTGGGGGTCTGAATAAAGCAGTCAACCTAAGAGGGTGTATGGTTTATTTAAGATTAGGGAATCACTCTTTCACTGCATACTTTTCTACTGTTGTACTCCATAGGCAGGCATATCTTTAGTTTTGTCCACTGATTTATGTACATATATAGATTTGTTTAGCAAAGTATAAGTTTTATATATAATATATTATAAATTATACAAAAGGAAATTGAAAGCGAAATTAGAAAAAACGGAATATTTTCAGATCAGAACATGGAGATTATTTGGAAAATCTGGACTGCAATAGTTCCAGTATTTCTAGAGGCAAATATCAAGCCAATGAATGAATGATATGGCTTGTGATTGTGATGAGGAAAATACCGAGCTGGTCAGTCAGCTGGTTGTAGTGAATGAATTAAACGGTTAGGTCTAAATGCCCCTATAAATGTAGTAAAATTATTCAGGAGGCAGGATATCTGAATCTAATTTCTACCTTCAGAAAAGAATAGATTGAAGACAGTGAAGAGTCTTTTAGACTCCAATAATATTTCTCAGTTGTGGAATTTTTGACAAAAAAATTCAACTCTTGATATTCTTCTAACATTCTCCTTTGCTTTGATTCCTTTTCCCCCAGAGCAGAAACAACAGAATCCTAAAGAAATATGTTGAAAAAGGTGATCATGTTTTAAATAGAATTTTCAAATTGATTTATTTTTGGTTGTAGAAAAAAAATTGTGATGGAGAAATGATGTAATGGTTGGATTAAAATCTTTCTTATCAACATTTTTATATTTTATTTCAGTTCCTGACAAGGCCCAGTGCGGCTAATGGCAATTTCCCGTACCATGTCAGGACTACTCAGGTTTGGTTACTTTTTTGTTGTTGTCTTCTTGTCGCTTTAAATTGTTGCTAGCTGTTTGTTTCTTTATTTGTTTGTTTCTTAGACTCAAAAGAAGTGAATATTTTTTTCAATTTTTGTAGCTGAGTTATTCAATTTTTCGTAATTGTAATGACAGATCAGAGATCTTGAAGGAGACCAAAAAGCAATAATTATAAATTTCTTTCATTGTTGTTCTTTAGATCACACAAAGAGAACCTGCGTTATGAATTTGAAATTTCTTTTTGATTCAGTTTGTAGCAGGGTTACAGCGTGGAGTAGCCCATAGTTTAAAACAGCTTTATGCACTGCTCACAGTCGAAAGCTCCGTATCCACATGGGATTCCATATTATTATTCACAATTCAGAACACATTTAACTTCACAGCATAACATTGCATAATCAAGAATTCACAACACAAAGTACCAGGACCTGCGAAACAATGTCTAGACGTGGGCGTCACAGAAAACAACGAGCTTCTCAAACACAGAAAAATAGTCAGTGTGTGAGGCAGTTAACAAGGCTAGTGACCTGTGACCTAGTGACCTGGTGACCTGTACAGCCTCTCCCTCCCCATTCCCACCTCCCTCTTGCATGGCGGGGCCTAGCAGTAGCTCTGTCTACAGTAGTCTCTTGCACAGAGAAGCCCTGGTACACAAACCAGTTAAAAGTAAAGTAAAAGCAAAGACTACAGCAGGTGGGTGGTTGGGGTTCTCTGGTGTGGTTTGCTCCTTCTTTCCTTTCAAACATCTATCATCCTTATCTCCCCTCTTCTTTTTTGTGTTTGTTAGTACTCTCATGTAACACTCCTAATCTTCAGCACTCATGTTACCTTACTGTGTTGCAAGTGCCGTAACACTCTTACTAAAACTAAAAAGCTTACTAAAGACTACTGCGATGAAGAGCTGACCTATTCCACCACAAACACCAGTGAGCACTTAACTCATAGAATCAAAATAACAAAATAAAGCTATTGGCAACCGTCTGGCTGAGGTCAAAGTGTAGTATCTATTCCCGACTCTTCAGCCTTGTGCTGAGTCCAAAACGGGACTTACACTACATGAAGCTGAAGCCTTGGCTTCTATTATATCTAGCGTCATTCTTTAGAAAAAAAACCCACCAAAATTACAATCAACTTCCAAAATACTAAAACTGAAACGTAACACCTTCCTAACCCCCTCCCAAACCCCCCAACCCCCCCCCACCTCCATGTCTGTGAGCAGATTGCGACAATGGGCGGTGAGGAGCACCTGGATGGGAACCCCTACACGGTCAGCTCCCGGGACGGTTTGTCGGGCTCTGGGCCCAACCTGGAGTTTTTCATCACCTCGAAGGAGGTGGACAATGAGGACACGATGGACGGAGAGAGCCGAGTGATATTCTCCGTCTCCGGACAGAGGGGTAATCCCCCTTCGTACAACGATCCGCCCCCAGCCTATCCCCAGGTTAGTTGGTCGTGGAAATGGTGGTCAAAGTCATGTCGAGGAGTCATGCTATGATTTCTCAAATGTTATTTTGGTCTTTACCTCAAACCTCAATAGGCTGCGGCATGGAAAAAAAATTACTCTGTCTTTAGGATTATGAGATGCAATAATGGAGAACATGACAATAATAGATATGAATATGATCATAATTTAATTATAATAATAATAATAATAAAGATAATAATAATAATAATAATAATAATATTATAACAACAATAATAATATGGACCTAATGTTTTGGGTTTTTTTTAATTGTCACCTTTGCTCTTCTTCTTTCCCTGCATTTCCTTCTGTTAATTTTTTTTGGTCAGTTTTATTGGTTTTATTCATGATGGTCAGTATTATCGCCAATACTACAATGACTACAGCGACTAGATATCTCCTGTCTTTGCTCAGGTCGTGGAGCGTCCAGGCGTTGCCTCCAGCAGCTCTGTAGGAGGCAGTGGGGACGCATCGACGGTCCACACCACAGGGGCCGGTCCTGACCACCCAGTCTCCAGCGCAGGCAGTGTCCAGCACATTCATAACTACGGTGGTGTCATCATCAACTCTGTCAACAACAACAACAACAACAACAATGTCAACAACAACATGAACAATAACAACAATAATAGCAACAACAGCAACAGCCTGGTGAGCAATGTAAATAGCAATTTCCAAGCCAGAAACGCCTTCGTGCCACCCATTTTAAGCGGTCTGCCGCCCTCTGCGGGTCGATGGGCTCTCCCTCCACTGGTCCGTGGTTCAGTTCTGACAGGCCACGTCCCATCCGCCCCACCTATGGATCCCGTGGAGGAGACGGAACAGCCTCCTGAGAATTTTGAGGGAACTTCGTCAAAGAATAAGAAGAAAAAGAAGAAGAAGTGAAGGCATGCGGAGAGGTTGAGCAGGTTGAAGACTGATGGTTTTGTGAATTTTCAATCCAAATGAAATGCTCAGTTTAAGTCTCTGTCATACGTTACAATTCAAAATGGCATGTAGGGATATAACAGAGTCTTACTATAATCAGTCGAAATATCCTACCTTGTTAAGAAATAGTGTGATTTACTAAAATTTCATGAGGAAGAAATTTTTTAGCTCAATGCTGCAGTTCATACTGGCTCTCAAAGCTAATTTTTGGCTGCAGTATTGTGTTGTCTTCACTGAATTTGCCTCCTCCACCCCTCCCCCTCCTGGTCACTAGAATGAACCCCTCAGCTTACCTTTTCGGAAACATGAGCATCTCTACTTATGTAGATCGTGAGCAAATTCAGTAGTCTCTCTGCTTCACAGTTTCTTCGTCCAATCAAAAACATGTTTGTGTTTTAGACAGGATTGGGATTTTTGTTTGTCTGTGTTTGTATTGTTATTTGTACCCCGGGTTGCTCTTTCAACCGACAGTACTTGGTGATAGTACTAATAATAACAAAATGATAATAATAATAATAATATTCATAATAATGATGATAGTATTGAATCTCATTTATGCGATGCTTTTCTGCTCTCAGTGCTCAATGTACTTAACAGCAAAAATTACGTAAACATTGTCTTTATTCATTCATCATTACCAACATAATTAGGTAGACTTGGGCTCTCAGCTCCTGTCTTTCTTGATCTGTCTTACACACACTTACATACACATGCACGCACATATGCACATGCACATGCACACACACACACACACACACACACACACACACAACACACACACACACACACACACACACACACACACACATCATACCATTCACACACACACACACACACACACACACACACACACACACACACACACACACACACACATGTGCACACAGCACACATACACACTTACTCACCAACATACACACACAAACAGGAACACACACCCACACATATAAACATCCTTACACGTATAATTATGGATGCACTCTCATGAACAAGTAGTGTTTTATTGAAGAACATGTGATCAAGTGATTGATCAAGTGATTATATTTCAACACTTTTCATTTAGAATGCCCCCAAACTCACATCCTAACCTCTGTATGGGGCTACTTGTGAAATGCAGCGAACATAACAGTTTAGGGCTGATAATGTGATGTTAACTAGAATTCTACATCAACATGTAGCCTAATTAGAACTTTGGGGACAATTACTCATATCATTTTATTTGCTTTCCAGCCATTAGATTAATTGTTGCTATAACTTCACAAAACAGAAGTGTTCGACAAATCATTATTGTGTGAATTCACTTTTACAAAACTCTTGTGCAGTGAACTAAAAAAAGAAAAAAAGATTTTTAATCATTAATAATGTTTGTGCTGGTAAAATGAACTGTGGAATGTTTGGGGAGTTGTAGTTAGGCAAGAGTTAACGGCAAAGGTTCTTAAATTTTCAGGAGAAAAGACAAGTGGATGTCTTGAACATTGTCTTGATATAGAAAAAAAAAATGCATGAATAAAAGTGGGAAGTGGTCATTTTTACAGGTGCCATGATTGTCTTGGACAGGTGGTAGTTATAGCAGGTTTGACTACCATGGACTTGTTTCATAATATCCTAGACTGCGCTTTCTGGGGTAGTACCGGTTCACTATGGAATGCACTATTTGACTCAATTTGGACCCGGATGTAGAGAAAGGGGTGAAAGGTTGCTCATGTATTCAACTATAACAAGTGTTCTGCCCTTCATTTGGGCGCCCATGGTGTTCACGACTTTGCAGCAAATTTGTTTTTCTAGAGAGCAAAGAGTGGCAACCATGACAGTACATGGTCTAGGCTATAACTATTTCAAGTCTATGGACTGTGCATATAACTGTTTTGATGATGAAAACAAAGATTATGTACTAATTGTTCAATTTCAGAGTGGCTTTGATCGTGTGCTTTAAAAGTTAATCAAAATGGAACTCATCATTGTTTTCATAGTAAAAAAATGACTCAGGTAAAGTTAATTATAACAATATGTAAGTAATGATGGCTTTTTAGCTTTGGTTCATGAAGAAGAGGCATATTAATTTGCATGCTTGCTTTGTTATCAAATAATATGTCAACTGTTTGCGGTTTTTTTTAACATATTGATGTTGGCATTTTACCATGAATATAGAGCTACCTTACGCCTTTGTCATACAGTACTTCACAGTGTGCCGCTTCACTCGTTCCTTCATATAAATTATGCATTTATATATTATAAAATGTAAAAATTTATGATAATGCTGTAGAAATTTTTGTCTAGAAGGAATGAGTTGGGACTTGCAATGAATAGTTGTCTGTTCGACTCTCTGTCTTTCTTTTTATAGCATGCTGTATTTTTAAGTACATTACCATATTTTCCTCATTTCACCCAACTGCTATCTATAATTGTGCACATTTCACAAAGTTTTCTCAAATCCCAATTTTATATGGTTTGATATGAATGAGGGAGGCCAGGTTTTCCTCCTTTGAAGGGCATAATCTACCATATTGGCACAAGTTGATGAATAAATCCTCCAAACTGAATTGCTAGATCACAATTTAATAGGTTCGATGAAGCCAACCAATCTTATGACTAGTGTGTCAGATCATTTGTTTGCTCGCAAAATCAGTGGAATGTAGTAGAAGTGGACTTCCCTAATGGAATGATTCTGGCTCAAACTTAAGATAAGAGAAGAGATAAGATAAGATAGTACTTTATTATCCCAGAGGGAAATTTTCCTTGGCTATACAGGACCGTAAAAACAAATCAAAATGAAGCAAAACCGCCTCACCTCCTTTGCCCCTTCCTCTGAGCTCCTGACTCTTTCTGCAGCCTTTCTACTGCTTCTCCTTTACTCCTTCTTAAAATTACTGCTGTCTTTCAGCCACACCCCTGAACTTATGGTAGGTAAAATCTACACCTAGCCTTCTCGAGTAAGGGCAAAAAATCGAAAAGAGTAGGCTTCGGCCACCTCTCGGCAACGTTCAAAATTTCCCACGAAATGAAAATGTTTGGTACCTTATGCAGTTACTAGCATCGAAAAACGTTTACTAAAAAAAAAAAAGAAGCAAAACAAAGGTAATTAATTTGATACATTGTGGGCTGGCCAACACCGTAGCCCGCCTCCATCCAATCTTATCATGCTTTTGATCAATAGGCCTGTCCAAAACTACATGGTAAGGTAGGAAATGATGAGAATAAGAGCAATAGGATGCAATGCTGGGTCGTGAACAGTACAGAAAGAATGAACAAACCAACAAAAAAAGTTCCATCAGAATGCGATTTGCAGCTCAAACTTGTATGTGTTGTGCAAGTTTAACATAAACTGTGCCAAAGTGGCTGAATATTCAGTACTAGAGCCCATCTTACTTCTCAATGCACTTGTAAGTTGTATTCCTCACCGCAAATCTGAATCTCTTAATATTGTTGTGCCATTTTTAGTGTGTATGTATGTATGTATGTATGTCCATAAAACTAAGGAACAACGCATACTGATGGCAACAGTTGTGGACAGTGCAAGTCCAAAATTACTACTTTCAAGGAAAACAGTGTGGGAGCGTCAAGCATGCCAGAAAATAGATATATATGACGCCAGAGCAGCTCTTAAGGAGCCACAAGACGGAAATTTTCCATTTTGGGTTATGTTCATTTCCTTCATCTTCATAGTTTGAAGAACACTTGATGCAAAAATGTGAAGCCTAAGGGATGATAAATAAAGAAACCATAGCTTATAGTAACGATTTTGCAGGACCCCTGTTTTGAGAAACTGAATGTCAAAGTTAAAGTAACTTTTCCTTAGCATTCAGATGCTATTAGAAATAATTGGAAAAAAGAATAAAAACGCAGCAGATTTCTCTAGATCTAGGAATTTTTATTTTCTAAACAAAAATGGGCCTAAGAGGTCAATTTTACATGAAACAAGATTTTGACCCAAACTACCCTCGGCACTTATTTTGGTTGTTTGCGCAAAATAGAAATTCCTATCTTGTGGCTCCTTTGGAGCTGTGTCGACACTCATATATGTATGTATATATATATATATATTATATATATATATATTGCGTCAATGTCATACCGGTATTTCATAATTTTAGCTCTGTATGTAAACTTGCACTATTTGCACTATATTTAGACACGAGGTTTCAGACAAAGATAAAGGTTAACTTTATTTCAGACTTACTTTGTTTGCGACTGTGACCGTTGATCAGTAACTTCTCTGTTTGATTTTATCAATAATCTGCTTTGAATTCTCATGTACAGTTGGTTCTGTTTATGTTTGACTGAACTGGTACAGATGCAATAAGTTTAAGAAAACAAGACAAAATTTTGTCATTTATGTTTGCGAAGTATTCGCCTGCAGTTTTTGCATCTAGGCATTTTGTTATTGTTTTTAAACTTTATTTTAAGGTAGGCATTATATGTGTTTGCATCTGTTTGTGCAATATTTGCAATGGTTTTGTTCATATTGATATGTTACCCAGCCTAAACGTACAGTACTGCTGGTAGATGAGTAGATTTCTTGTTGGTTTACAGAGCATAAATTAATATTTATTGTTTGATTTTACCAACTGTGATGTTTATACCCTCAGATTCTATCTTTTTTTGTCTGTAAATCTTAAGGCTACTCACTATAAATGATATTTGCTATATATCTTCTATGTTGGTTCATCACAAGCACTAGACACATTTTACTAACGAAAACTTGTTTTATTATGCTAATAATATGGTGTGACATTCAAACGCTGAAGGTAATTTCTATAACGTATGCCTTCTCTTTTTAGGAACTGGAGGTATGGGTTCCTGGTAAAACAGCGCAGAGTAAATTTATCATGAAATGTTTGTAGGTGTCAGTTTGTCTTGGTGGTGGTGCTAGCTGCTGTGTAATTTAAAACAAAATTCCTGACTGTTTCTTGTCGTCGCTAATTGTAAATATTTGGACTTATTTTGAAATGCATTTTATGCTCTCTCACAAGAGCAAAAAAAATTGCTGATCTTACACATATAATTGAATTTGTTGACTGAAATGATGACGGAATTTATGATGATATTATATTAATTTTTGTTATCTACAGTTTTTGGGGGGAATTAATGATAAGCTTTGATATATGACCATGTCATGCATTTGAGGAGTCTTGATGTATGTTTTTGGCATACAGTCAAACCTCGTTATACTGCCCCCTGTTATACCGCCAGCCCAGCTTACCACCAGATTTTTCCAGAGTACGGAAAGGAGCGCCAATATTAACATAGGATTTACGCCTTCACACCGCCATTCACCATCCTCCTACTCTCCGAGCTGTACGGTCCTTATTAACTTATGTAAGTTTGCCCCACCATACTGCCAGCGAAACGACCGCCAGAGATACACACTGCACACTACGCACAGCGCCCAACTGGTTGGCTACTTTATATTCTTTCTCCTGCAAGAAAGACATAGAGACAGAGAGGGAGAAGACTGGGCTCTGAATACAAGTGCATGTACATGTATATCACAAACAAATAGACACTTTTCAAACACAGATCACTCTGCAGAATTATGTCACTTGACATTGGACAGTTGGGGCTTTTTAACTGAGGAGCCCCTTTGAATCTCCATCCCCACTATTCCACTAACTTCCTGCTTGTCCCAAGGGTGGCGGTATAACGAGGTTTGGCTGTACTTTAAATATTTGGAATTTATTGTGGGATTTTGTATATGTTTCCAAAGCTAGGACAGGACTGCAATACTCTCGTTCTACACAATAATCGTCACTTTTTA